TCCATCCATCCATTCATTCCCTCATACCCACCTCTTCGAACAATGGAATGTCACGGTTCTAAGATGTAAACGAAAAATGTACAAAGAAAGGTCCGTTGTTTGTAAGGTCTCTTAAAACAAAATTTGTCATGTCCCTTGAAGATGCAGAACGGAGACACTGATTTCTTTATGTACAAATAGAAGATAAAAGATCACATAAAAGCCCTCGCAGTGTAAAATAAACATGTCCCACGTGGCTTTGGATTGGTTCTCACTGTTTGATTGTTGTGCTTTTCTCAAGTCATAGTAACCCAGACTTATTGACTAGACCATCGATACTGAATGGCCTCTTCCGATGAGCCTGGTAATGTGTTTAACGCCAGTAGTTTTTCATTGCGGTTGTTTATAGTTTGTGACTCTATAACCTGATCAGTCCTAGTAAGAAAGATTCCGGTCATACTTTCCCCATTGAATTGTAAAGGCACATGTTTTAACTGATACACTTACCATTATATCAATACATCACTTTATTCAGCCAAATCTGGCTATGAAAAACGGTCCATTGCAATCCACATACGACGCAATCACCTTCCCTTCGCACACACTACCACCATTCAGCTCATCCCGTTACCAGCTTCGCGTTGGTCCCCACTCAGAATGTGTTCAGCCAGTCGATTGTATAACTGTCTAGTTTTACCAATGCAAACTCCTGTTCGAAATTAGCGTTACACTTGAAGCGAAAAAGTGTCTTACCGGTGGTGTTTTGGTACCCGAATACCTTTGTCAGATAAGGTGGTGGATTAATCGGCAACGAGTAGTGTTCATCGATCATACAACTTTTGACATATTTCATCATTATTTTTCTACATTCAAAGTTTTGTATCACGTCTGACTATCAATATCGTCTCGGTCGTTTTTGTATACAAATATATCGGTCGCATTCCTGGTGATGGTCAATAGGCCAGCAACTTACCATTGAGATTGTATTGGTTGCTGATTTTCTCGTTCAGCTTTGCTTTTCGCAAGCCTTGTAATGTGAAGTATACAAAGTGCTTTTTTGGCCTATTGTCATTTTTCTGTGATTGCTCGTGAACTCGCGTAGAAGAACTTAGGTGTGCTTTTGTTTGATCTACACTCTCTGTTGAGGTATATATATATTCATGTTCCTATAGGGAAGTATCTTGCCCTGTCGTAACTGAGATTTCAGTGACATCCTTCCGTTTTTGTGAATCGAAAGCCTGCCTCCTCAAGTCACTTCAGCTTCGTTCGCGAGTCACGCATGATATGAAAGTTTCTCAGTTTGATATCACAAAACACCGTTCTATAGTCTTGGACTGCATGTGCCACTTATCCTCGCCCCCCCCCGCATGTATCGAGCCGTGGTATGCGGCTTTTCGTCGCTACTCCTGAGATGCGCTAAAACCGTTTCCCGCCCTTCCCTCAGGCACATTATCCGGGATAACTGCGCTTTTGTTAAGTCGATCTGGATAGTACTAAATGTTTCCCTGATGAAACAGGTTTTCGGTTGCTACCACTCCTGAAACGCATTAGAAAAACATCATATCTCTCCTACATGAAGCTCAATGTCATATGTCACGAGAGATTAATCATGGACCATTACATATTGTTTTCTCACATTTATACAGTTTCTGGCTCAGCATGTTTTCGAGTGCAAATCATTCGATTACCACGCAGCATTCTGGGTCTGAAGGTAATCGAAAACATTCTCCCAACGTTGAAGACAGATATGTTAGCTACCTCGACTGGTCAGATCGCGGCATTTATTTGCGGAAATTGACTAAATGTTCAAATTGTTGTTGGGCAGATTGATATTAAAATGTTGAATATTTCAGTGTAGTCTCGG